TACTGTGGAAGGTGTTTACCCTAGTCTAGTGAGCTAGACCAAATTCTTGCTTTGCAAAGTTTGGTCTAGGACCGCTCCATTGGAACCTCTGCAACCCTAGCAGCATTCTGGCATGCCTATCACAGCCCTCTATAGGGGTTTCAAACTGATAGAGCACTGTGATTGATCCACAATGGTGGGCCAACCAGGGCCTTCTAATCATTTGGTGGGCAGAATGATGTGATAGAGTGGAACAAGATGGCGACAGCTCTTTTGAAATGGTTTTTACATCAGTTTTGGACTATTTGGACTTGGGCTTTATTAGAATCAGGAGCAGATAGATGTATTTAAGTCCTTTTATTAGAAAAACGATGTATTGTCACCTTCTTCAATAGCGAACTGCCTTGTTTACCGACATTCGTTGTGGTGAGTGCATCACGTTGTTCATTGTCCAGTAGCATGAGGAGAAAGTTTGAAAGACAACGGTAGAACCCACTCCACGACCAAGAACCGTCAATGGAGTGTTGCCAGACTAAATAATATATTGTCAGGCTATGTTTACCAAACAGAAAACACATTTTATTGTGCTTTTTTACAAAAAGAATTACATAAAATCTATTTAAATATAAAATCCAAACAGGTAGGCTAGAAGAGTTAAAACTAATCCCACATGATCTGTTTTCAATACTGCGCTGGTTGTTGCAACCGTAGGCTGCACGAAAAACGGGCATAGTTGCCCACCCTGTGTTGGCTTCAGTTGGGTTTGGAGAGTGGGGAACCCATCCAATATGGCGGTGATGCCGTTACACTCTCCTGTGGCTAATTTCTACGTCCTGAAACAGAAGTGCCAGAGCTTTTTTCACCCATTCATTTGTACTAGAGACCACTGCAAATGTGTTGGACAAATGAGTAAATTTATTTTAATTTCAATAAGAAATTATCCACAACAGCATTCAGAATATTTGGTCAATAATGATGAAAATGGAAGCGACCGTGAGTTACTATTTTTATTTCCCTTTTAAATAGCAAAAGTACATAAACTGATATTGTTTAAGGTCTCCAAATGAGCAAAAGTAAACCATACTATGTTAGGTGCTGGGAAGGCATAGCTCTTGATACAACAGATCCTTTCTTCAGTACATAACTTCCTTGCTGCTGCTTTGTTTCAGCTTGTCGACAGCAGTGCCAGGTCCCCACTTGGGATTTGTCCAAGTCGGTGCTGCTACCTCCGCTAAATTTGGTGCTAGCCGTAACAAGAGAAAAATGCTCCATCAATCACTTTGTATGTAGCGAGAAAGAGAGGAACCGGAGATGTGTTCAACATCTGAGAAATAAACCAGTGGATGCTCTGTCAACAACCATTTCCTGGGTGAGATGATGGGAAAATTTCCCCGTTCTCTCCGGGGATATCATTTGGGAACACACCGGCGTCCTTCAGTGCCAGAAGTTTCCGAGCGGAACCCAAGCACTTGGTTAGGGTGTTTAGAGAGTTTCTGAAGTGAAATCCTCCTTTGCCTCAGTTGCTTGCTCTATCAGATAAAGACTGCCAGTTGAGGCTTAAGTGTGTCAATGAACCCGGGTGGAGGCGGGGAATCGATGATAAGTGCAGCTTACCTCCTCAGCACCAGCCAAATAGAGATTAAACCATTTCAGCCTAATAGCACGTCAGTCAAAAGTCACACTTGAGCGCTCTCTCTCCGTTGCCACCGCCTATTTTAGAATCATTTCCTCTGAAAAGATGTTGGTTTTGCAGGAAAATAAACATGAAAAAATGCAAAGTGGCTGTCAGAGACGGAACTGGAAAACTGTGCATTGAGCTGTGATCTGTAATTGTCGGCCATTTCTCTGAATCCTCAAACAAGACCCAGTTTGAAAGTAACCATTTGTGATTCATTCAGAGACACATGCGTGCACACAGAGCAAAATCAGGAGCGCACGAGCACCAAGATCAAAGGCTGACAGGTCTATTATACCATAAAAATACAGCTGACTTTCTGAGCAGCAGCCTTTTGTAAACGGTACTCATTTTTTGCTCTAATCACTGTTGTGGACATTGCAGAATTGCCCGCCGCTCCATAGAATTACTTGACTGAATCCAATAACAGCGGCTTTGATTTGTTGTTCAGCCACCTCAGGTGTGGATTCACCCTGTGGTTTGTAAGTGAGAGCTTGTGTTGTTTCGCCACTGTCCCTAATTTGGACATCATAGCACTCATTAGGTGAATCAAACTGATATCAAAGCCAGAGAACAGACATTTATGTTGCCCTGTGCCAGTATCCCTTTAATGATGTGTCTGCAGTGAAGTCTTGTTGTTTGGGTCTTTCTTCAGGTGCTTTGACCTCTTCTGGCATGATTTTTTTTGTATAAAACTTTAGCTTTTGTGTTCTCGTAAGTTATGTCGGATATGCGTACAATTGATTGGAGTCAAACTTTATTTTAAAGATGGCTGCCACAGCTGACTGAGGTTACCAAACATAAAAAATGGCTACAGCTCAGTTAAATTTGGAGACTTTGAGTTGTAGGTTGGTGTGGTGGTAAGTCATCCCTAACATTTCCTTTTGAGGAAAACAATGTATTATTTATAGCCTAATGTTGATACAAAAAACTATTATTGAAAACATTTTATTTGGTAAAAGAACAACTACATAAAACATAGTAGAAAATAAAATTGGCACTTATCAACTGCAGTACTTGGATTTTCCACCAGAAGGCAAAATACTTGTACAGAATTTAAAGGTGTGGAACACAGAAAAAACATTTTATTGATTATTTCTGATTATGATCAGACACTCTGAGTTTTCATGCAGGCTAAACATGAAAATAGTCTCCTACACCTATCTCCTGCATTAGCTTCTGATACAAAACAGACTCTAGGATTAGAAAAGCCTGACAGATCTATGTCACACTGTCGCTTAACATTCATGGACTCACCCATCTTGAGTCATGACGGGAAAGGCTGTTGTTGGTTTAGCGTTGAGGAAACAGCAGAGAACGTGTCAGCTAGTAGAAGCTAAATGTTAATATTAGCAACTCCACCGCACAGCAGAACACCTCCAGGCTTGTGTTATTTGTAGAAATAAAACATCCATGTGGAAAGTCAGCAGCAGAGTTGCATTGTTGTTATCCAATCGGGGGCAAGATGTCCAGGTATCAGGAAACAAAACTCCTAATGAAAATAATTTGAAGCTCAGCTGTGTTGTGGCTCACTTGTAACTCCTGGAAACGGTGCACCAGTTTGTTTGTTTTTTGTCCCACCGAGTACGGCTTACAAGGCATTCATTCCAACTGCAGACTACTGCAAATGTTTTAATTAAATGAGTGTTCCACGCCTTTAATGGAACAGAAGTTTTAGGAATGTACTAAACCTGGTAAAAAGGTAGAGATTTAGGAAAATGAGGAATATGTGTTTCAAATTTGATACATTTGGTTTTGAAGCAGAAATGCTGAGTTTTTTTCTCATAGGGTACCACCTGGAGGTGGAAAAATGTATAGCACCTGAAGCCATACTTCAGGTTTCTTTCGTTAGTGCACGCCATGGGCAAAAGTGCTAAAACACACTGCTTAACAATTATCATTGTCACATTATGCTGTTTACTCATATATATATATATATATATATATATATATATATATATATATATATATATACATCTATATATTTATACATATATATTAATATATATAAATATATACATATATACATATGTATATATACATATACATATACGTATACATATTGCCAGCGTTTATCATAGTACAGGCTCAAACTATCACTTTTACAGAGTTCTAAAATATATACTGAAAGGGATTGTTGCTTATAGAGTTACATTAGGCTGTGGATATACCTTCCTTTTTGTTACTTGCAGCTTTGTTTCTGTCTTGTACAGTGTGATTCGATACCACGAGGTCAGAAGCAGATTTCCTAACACTGCACTTAGGGGAAGAGTCAAATGTAAATTTTTTATATCAAATAAAAAAAACTGGACTTTCAGAGTCAACTTTCTGAGAACATAAATCAGAATCACGACTCGCTGTTGTGGGAAAGACAACAATATTCACAGATGTGATGTTAGTGAGGATAGAATCATCTAGACCTGTCCTAATGCAGACCCAAATGTTGGTTAATAGTCAGCCTAAAAGTCAAGAATGAGCTAATTTCTCCAACCTCTGGTTTGTGTTTTTACAGAGAAAACACATTTCCTTTCTCTAGCTCTTTTATAAAGGGCAAGTTGCACTTCCCAGAGCCCGATGCACTCTGCATCAGAGCAAAGAGAGATCCAAAACTGGACACCTGCCACACCTGGTTATGGTTGCTATGTTATGATTGTACCTTCACAGTTCACTGGAGGCATTGCATAACAGCTTTCAAAACAAACTACAGCTGAAGTTTGCCCAGGATGAGAGAACGCACACAGCCTAGATGGGAGAGCTTGGTTGTGTTTGTCGGTGCTCGCTGGTTCCCAGTTTCTGTTTTGTTGGTGGTGGTGCTACAGCTCTCTTTACTCTGTGTGTGGATCACGGCTCGTGCCTTTAAAACTCTGAGGAGATAAACGTTAAATGGCTTGTAAGTTGGACATTTCTCTGCAGTGCCACAGTTTTGTTGTGAAGTATAAACAAAGAGATGATGTGTCCCCATCGAGGCAGCTCCTAGGTGGAGCTGTGATAGCTTGGTTACAGAAGCCTCCTCGTGTCTTTTGTTTTCTCTTGAAGAAAGATTAAAAATGCCTCATGCCTTTTGATGATGCGGTGAAATGCTAGTACTATCGAGCACCCTGTGCAGACTTTATACAAGCAGTGTTAGAAATTGATTCAAACAGCTTATCTGGGTCCATGAGGGACAGATCCAGCAGGCTGCAACCAGAGGTTTGTGGGTAATTTTCAGCAACTTGCCCAGGCAGAGAATCGGCTTATTTTTATTTTTGGGTCCATATCTGTGCAGTCATTTCAATGCACTTCTTGCTTCATCTGGTGTGGACTTTGTCGTGCTTATGGAGATGATATAAATCTGTCCCTTTTGCAGGTTTACACCAGATATGGGAAATGCTACACCTTCAACGGCAACAAGACGACATCCAGGAAATCCAAGCAGGGTGGAATGGGAAATGGGCTGGAGATCATGCTGGATATCCAGCAGGATGAGTATCTGCCCATATGGAGAGAGACAAGTACGCCTCAGAACCATTTCCTTATTCTAATTTAGTCTCATGAATTGTTTTGTTTAAAAAAGACACATTCATGTATTTCTTCATATTAAATTCTGTAAAAAGTGTATTTTTTGCCTGAAATGAAGTTTGTAGAAGAAAATTCCTGATCAAAATTCCCTGCTCAATGGGTGCCACAGAGTCAGTTCCTGCTTATTTATTTAATCAAACATGTTTGAAATGTGGTTTGCACTTTGCATCAATCTGAGCCCAGGCTGTCAGGTGATGCAGACATCTGAAATTCCCATTTATCCTCACTCTGCACCATTATGTGCTTGTACTCTGTTTCATCCCGGTGAGAAGATGAGACTTCCCTGGAGGCGGGCATTAGAGTTCAGATCCACAGTCAGGACGAGCCTCCTTACATTCACCAGCTGGGCTTTGGCGTCTCGCCTGGCTTCCAGACCTTTGTTTCCTGTCAGGAGCAAAGGGTAGGTCTATTTCATCACCGCGTGCTGTCTCTTGCCCCTCCTCGAGCCACTGCTACTGTTTTACTGTTTTACTGTTTCTCTGCAACAGCTCGCCCCCGTGACTTCAACCACTGTCTAATAAATCTCTTTGTACTTAGCTGACCTACCTGCCCCAGCCCTGGGGGAACTGCCGCTCCACCAGCAAGGAGAAGTTCCCAGGATACGACACGTACAGCATCAGCGCCTGTCGTTTACTCTGCGAGACCAACGAAGTCATGCGGGTGTGCAAGTGCAGAATGGTGCATATGCCTGGTAAGATTTGACTCGTGGATGATCTTTAGCAAGATCCTTTTATTTTTTATGACATAATATTAGGAACAAAGAAGGCCATGCAGTTTTATCTTTAGGGCAGTTCATACATGGAGACAATTCAATGTGCTTCCGTTAGCGACAATAGAATGAACATTAAAATAACGTGACAGAACAATAGACTAAATTAAATACACAAATTAATTTCAAATTTAAGAATCGAAAAAGACAAAGTTAACGAGTGAGCAGTTACAGTGCAGAAGGTGCAGCATAACCCTTATTTAACACTGGAAGCATCAGCGGAACGGTAGTGGAACGTCGCTGCTTCAAATAGTCCATTATAGTCTGTGGGGGTGTTTTAAATCAACCGTGAGGCGGCAATTTTCAGACACGTCCCAGAAGTGGCACGCCATGCCACTAAAGACAGGATCGAGTTCTATTTTGCCACAAGCCACTTCTGGGAAATGTCAATTTCCACAGTTAACATTGGGCTAGACAGGAAAGCTCACACGGTTTCAGTGTAAAATCCCTGGTAATTTTCAAAATAAAGGTACTGCAGCGATGCGATTTCATATATATGTAGCTTACGTGTGACCCAACGACCTATTTACTCCCTGCGTCATCGGAGAAGTGCAGCGGTGTGTTTTTCAGGGCTTTAATCTTGGCAGTGGGGAGAAACAACATCATATATGACATCAAACAGCGATATCAGACATGACTCCTTCTTTTTGGTTTAATGGGGGACTATATAAACAAACCATGACCTTTGAAGTCTTGGGGCTGTTGTGATCCCGCAAGTCCTGTGAGGAGAACAGCGAGGAAGCCATTCCGCGGCCAAGACTCTCCCAGTGTGTAATCGACCGCATTGTTAAATGTTCTACTGCCGTTCCACGCCGCTGATGCTTCCAGTGTGAAATACGGGCAAGAAGCATTCATCAAAAGGCTAGTGAACGCACAACACATCAAAACCACCCACTCTGACACACCGGATCAACCACAAACTAGGTCTCAGGATGTTATTCCTGTCACTTTCGTGTGTTTGCGAATTTTATTTCCATCTCATTTATTACTATAATGATTACATATGATGGATAATTGTTGGTCTTGCTTGTTCTTGTATTCAGTCAGAGGATTTAATTAGATAATTTGCACATTTAACTTACGTCATTTCATAATTTATACCGCTACTCACCACATGCATCTTTTCTTTTTACACCTACCCATCTTTCTTTGAGGTTTGTCCCATCTATGTGGTCCTACCCCATTTATTTTATACCATGTTACACAACTTCCTGCCACTTTTTTTTTAAACTTTTTATTTATACACTTTTACATCAGAAACACATTCCCCATTGTATTCAGCATTCATAATATTTTTTGTGTTAAGTTCTCCCCGAGTTCTTTCGTCTTCATAATGAGTTCTTTTCATTTTCCCTCGGTGGTTTTCTCTTCCTTCGATTGTATTCTTCCACCTTCATTCATTTCACTCTGTCTTTTTTTCTTCTCATTCTCTTCTTTGTTCACGTTTCTATTGCTTCCCCGGTCAAACCCTCTGTCTTTCTATTTCTATCTTATTGACTTTCTTACCCTTTCCTATCATTCATTCTTCAACTTTTCCTTTTGAGTACTTATAATGCAAAAAAAAAATTATGTAAATAATAAAATAAAATATGATAAAATAAATAAAGGGCGGCTCATCTGCAGGTTTCTCCTCGCCATTTATTTTCTCATATCCATATGCTTATTACGTCTCCATTTCTTTTCCTTCTGTCTATTGTTTTCCAGTGGTTTAAGTTTTGTGGGTCACACCAATCTATGAGTGGTCCAATTTGCGCTGCCTGGTTGTACCAATTTATATTTGGCACAGCCCTCCCTCCTTGTTCTTTTGCTAGTTGTAGGGTAGATTTTCTAATTCTTGGTTTTTTGCTTTTCCAAATGAATCTTGATACTTGTTTATTCCATTTGTTGATTTGTATTGTTGGTATTGGTACTGGGAGGGATTGGAACATATACAGGAGTCGTGGTAATAAATTCATTTTGATCATGTTTATTCGGTCGTATAATTGTAATGGATAGGATGTCCATCTGTTTAGGTCTTCGTTTATCGCTTGGTTTAATTCCTCATAATTTTGTTTAAATAGATTCTTCAGGTCTTTAGTTATGTTGACTCCTAAATATTTGATGTGATTATTGTCACATTTAATCTTGCATTTGTTCAGTTCTGTTTTTCATGTGTGATCATATAGCAGTGCTTGTGTTTTATGTATGTTGATCTTGTATCCTGAGTGTTCCCCACAGGTGTTCATTAGTTCTAATAGGTTCTTTAGATTATTATTCGGGTTTTTAAGGTATATCAATACATCACCTGCAAAAAGACTTATGGTATGTTCCTTGTTGTTAATTTCTATTCCTTTTATTTCTTCCTCCTGTCTAATTGCCTGGGCTAAAGGTTCGATATACAAAGGCCTTAATACAATTTACTGTTTGTGAATTAAATCCAAATTTTTTTAAAGTTGCAAATAGTTTACCCTATCAAATGCTTTTTCTGCATCAAAGCTTATTATAGTTGCCGGTATTTTTTTTTTCGTATTAATTTCTTGTATTATATGTAGTGTTCTCCGTATGCTATCTTGTGTTTTCCTCCCTACTACAAAGCCACATTGGTCCTCATCGATTATGTCTGGAAGGAATCTTTTAATTCTATTAGTTATTATTGTTGTATATATTTTGTAGTCTATATTAAGAATTGAAATCGGTCTATAGTTTGCCGTGTCTTCTTTGTTTTTCTGTGGTTTAGTTATTACAGAGATAATGCCTTTTTGCCATGGTGGTATTCTATTGTTGGTCATAATCCAGTTATGCGTTTAGTATAGTATTGATACCAGGTCCTGCTTTAAATTTTTATACCATTCTGCTGAGTATCCGTCACTTCCTGGTGCTTTATTTGTTTTAAGTTTATTTATTGCTTATATTATTTCTTTTTCCGTTATTGTCTTCGTTATATTCTTATTCTGTTCTGTCCCTATTGAGGGTAGGTCTAAGTTCTACAGGAATTCTTCCATTTCGTTAGTGTTGATTCTTGGTGGTTGTGTATAAAGTTCCTTATAATATTCTCTAAAGATTTCTTCAATTTCTTTTGGTTCTTGTGTAATTTGTTTTGTTTTTGGGTTGCGTAATTTGCTTATGTGATTTTGTTCTTGTTGTTTTCTTATTCTTCTTGCTAGTAGCCTCATTGCTTCAGGTCCTGCTTCGTAGTAGTTTTGTTTTAAATATTTTGCCTTGATTTCTATTTCATTTTGGTGTATTTCATTCATTTTGTTCCTGATGTTTTTTATTTGGTCCCGTGTCTTCGTTTCTGTTTTCTGTTTGTCTTTCTTTTCCATTTCTTCTAGTTCCTTTATAAGTTTTTCATATTGTTTAGTCTTTTCTCTTTTCATTTTGCTTGTAAATGTGATTAATGTTCCTCTAATCACTGCTCTCATTGCATCCCACAGTATATCTGGCTGTACTTCTCTGTTAACATTATCTTTCAAATATTCCTTAATATTTTTACTGATCTGTGTTGTTATTTCTGTGTTATTAAGTATTCCTGTATTTAATTTCCATAGAGTTTTTATTTTATTTTATTGTTTAAATGAATTTTGAGATATATTGCGTTATGATCTGATAGGTCCGGCCCTCCAATTTTTCATTCCTTTATTCTGTATCTATATTCTTTTTGTATAAAAAAATAGTCAATTCTTGAGTATGTTTTATGGTGTGCTGAGTGGTGGGTATATTTTTTGTGTGGGGTTAAGTTCTCTCCATATATCTATAAGTCCCATTTCTTTAGTTATTGTATTTATTAATTTGGTTAGTGGTTTTTTATATGTTGTAGTACTTGTTGTATCAAGTTGGGAATTCATTATTAAGTTAAAGTCTCCTCCACATATACAAACCCCTCCATTTCCATTGCTAGCGTATTTAGCATGTATTAATAGAATTGTTGGTTACTTTCTGGCGGTGCGTATACATTGGCTAATGTTACCATCTCATTTTCGATCTGTCCTTTGATTATTATAAATCGTCCTTCTTTATCTCGAATTTCTTTTACATTTTCATAGTTCTGTGAATTAGATATTAAAATTGCCACCCCTCTTTTCCGGTTGTGAGGACACGTATCTATAGTATGTATATAGTATATAGTATCTATATAGTATGTATTTTTAAACCCAAGTTTTTTAAGTTTTTCATATTCTTTCTGTGATAGATGGGTTTGTGGTAGAAAACTAATTTGTATTTTTCTTTTTTTATTTCATTTATTATTTTTGCTCTTTTTATTGGATTTCCCAGCCCATTTACATTTAATGACATTATTTTAATTTCTTGGTTTTTATTGTGTGTCATTATTATTATTATTCATTCCTCTTTTGTTTTTCCCTTTCTCTTGATGCATTCTCCCCTTTGTCCTTGCAGATGGCCTTCCTGGTCTTGAGGTAAAGAAAATAAAAATAAAATAAAATACCCCCGCCCCCCTTTATGAACCCCCTTCTTGTAGCAACCAAACTTAGAACCTGTTGCAACAAGGTAACTGTCTTTGAACTTCCATTCTGAGATGCCCACTAGTGACTCTCTTTCCCTCTTCTGGGGGGAATGCCTTCCTATCAAGAAGGGCCCCCTTCCTCCCCCTCAGTCTTATTCATTCCACTCTAATCCTTACCTAGTGTCTCTCGTTAACCAACATTTTTATTATTTTTTTACCTTTCTGTTCTTCTTATTTTTCTGGAGCGATTCTTCTCCTTGTTTATTCTCCTCCGTCTGCCTTTTTTCCTCTGAGTTCGTATTCTTGCAGTCGTTCTCTGACTCTGTTCTTCATCATTCTGTGGTCTCCCCCACCTTTTTCCAGCTCGCCATTCCCTTCGTATTAGTCTCTTTATTCTTGTGTATTTCTTCTTCTGCCAGCTGGAATCCTTCCACTTCCCATTCTCGCATCTTCAGGTTCCTTGCCGCCTCCTCTGCGTTTT